CTTACTTCTTACCAATCAGGCTAAGGCCTTGTTGTCCTCTGCTGTCCGAAGAAGTCGTCTCCACTCTACTCGATCCATGGCCACAGTTCGCCAGCCTCGTAGTCTGCGAAGGGTCCGCAGGTCACCTTCTACTTGGTCGATCCACCTTGCCCGCTGCGCGCCTCTTCTTCTTGTTCTTGTTGGGTCGCTTTCTAGAACCATTTTCACTGGGTCGTCGTGCGGCATTCTTACGACGTGCCCAGCCCACCGTAGTCGCCCAATTTTTGCAATGTGGACGATGGATGGTTCTCCCAGCAGCTGGTGCAATTCGTGGTTCATTCGCCTCCTCCACGTTCCGTCATCCATCTGCACTCCACCGTAGATGGTACGCAACACCTTCCGTTCGAAAACACCAAGGGCGCGTTGGTCCTCCACGAGCATAGTCCAGGTCTCGTGGCCGTAAAGGACCACCGGTCTAATCAGCGTCTTGTAGACAGTCAACTTCGTGCGGCGGCGAATTTTATTCGACCGGAGCGTCCTCCGGAGTCCAAAGTAGGCACGATTCCCTGCCATAATGCGTCTTTGAATTTCTCTGCTGGTATCATTTTCGGCGGTCACCAGTGAGCCCAAATACACGAACTCATCGACCACCTCGATTTCGTCACCGTCAATCTGAACTCGGGGTGGGAGGCTAACATTATCTTCCCTAGAACCTCTTGCTTTCATATATTTTGTCTTTGATGCGTTGATGGCAAGTCCAATCCGTCTAGCTTCAGCCTTCAGTCTGATGTACGTTTCCGCCATCATCTCAAAGTTCCGTGCCATAATGTCAATGTCATCGGCGAAACCAAGGAGCTGGATGGACTTCCTGAATATCGTGCCACTCGTGTCTATCCCAGCTCTTCTGATCACACCTTCTAACGCGATGTTGAACAGCAGACACGAAAGTCCATCACCCTGCCGTAACCCCCTTCGAGATTCAAAGGGACTCGAGAGTGTCCCCGATACTCGAACAACGCACGTCACTCGATCCATCGTCGCCTTGACCAATCGCGTCAGTTTATCCGGAAATCCGTACTCGTGCATAATCTGCCATAGCTGATCTCGATCGATTGTGTCGTATGCGGATTTGAAATCGATGAACAAATGATGTGTGGGCACGTTGTATTCGCGGCATTTCTGCAGAACCTGCCGAATCGCGAAAATTTGGTATTGCCCCACGAACTCTCTTGCATATGGTGACAGACGGCGGCATAGAATTTGGGAGAGTACCTTGTAGGCGGCGCTCAGCAGTGTGATCGCGCGGTAGTTGCAGCAATCCAACTTGTCGCCCTTTTTGTAGATTGGGCATACGACACCTTCCATCCACTCCTCCGGTAATATCTCCTCCTCCCAAATCTTGGCAATTACCCAGTGCAGCGCTCTAGCCAGTGCTTCACCACCGTATTTCAATAGCTCACTTGGTAGTTGATCTACACCAGTTGCTTTGTTGTTCTTCAGCCGACCGATCTCCTCCTCAACTTCTTGAAGATCAGGGGCCGGTAGCCTGTCGTCTTCTGCGCGTGCTCCAAGGTCTGTTGCCGTGCCACCTTCGTTTTCTGCTGCTTCACCGTTGAGGTGCTCGTCAAAGTACTGCTTCCACCTCTCAATCACCTCACACTCGTTCGTGAGAAGGTTACCGTCCAAGTCCTTGCACATATCGGCTTGCGGCACGTAGCCTTTGCGCGAACTATTTAGCTTCTCGTAGAACTTCCGTGTGTCGTTTACGCGGTACAGATTTTCCATCGCCTCGCGATCTCGATCTTCCTGCTGACGCTTCTTCCTTCGGAAAACCGAGTTTTGTCTGTTCCGCGCTTGTCTGTATCGCTCCACATTCAATCTCGTGCGGTGTTGCAGCATTCTCGCCCGTGCTGCATTCTTCTCCTCTACTAACAGTTTGCATTCGCCGTCAAACCAGTCATTTCTTCGGTCCGGGATTGCAGTACCTAGTGCCGCTACAGCAGTACTACCTATGGCTGAACGGATGCCCCTCCAGCCATCTTCAAGAGAAGCTGCGCCAAGCTGCTCTTCCGTGGGTAGTGCAACTTCCAGCTGCTGCGCGTAGTCCTGGGCAACTCCGGTGTCCCGTAGTTGCTCAATGTTGGGTCGTGGCGTTCGACTTCGACGTGTGTTATGCACCGTCGAGAGTTTTGAGCGCATGCATACTGCAACTAGGTAGTGGTCCGAATCTATGTTCGCACTGCGGTACGTGCGGACGTTGATAATGTCGGAGAAGAATTTCCCGTCGATTAGAACGTGATCGATTTGGTTTTCCGTGTGTTGGTCAGGTGATCTCCAGGTGGCTTTGTGGATATCCTTGCGGGGGAAAAAGGTACTTCGAACTACCATACCCCGGGAGGCTGCAAAGTTCACGCATCGTTGGCCGTTGTCGTTCGATACGGCGTGCAGGCTGTTTGGCCCGATTGCCGGTCTATACATTGCCTCCCGTCCTACCTGAGCGTTCATGTCGCCGATGACGATTTTGACGTCCCGTTGCGAACAGCCGTCGTACACCTGCTCCAGCTGCGCATAGAACGCTTCTTTCTCGTCGTCGGGTCTCCCTTCGTGTGGGCAGTGCACGTTGATGATGCTGTAGTTGAAGAAACGGCCCTTAATCCTCAACTTGCACTAAAATACACCCCTTTCCTTCTAATCCCCTCACTTTTGATCGAACATGAGCTTCGGAAAGCTCCGAATACACGAATGCGATTCGTTTTATGAAAATCGAAGTTTGGCTTCGAAACGACCAAAACACAGAACGCGAAGGGAAAGAGATAGGACGTAAAGGGCTAACACGAAATTATTGCGACACCGAAAATGTCATGCCAATTTTCTTATAATGTTTAGAATCAAACCAAAATTTTAGGGTAGTTTTATACATATATTTACTTCAAAAATCAAAAGAAAAGTTAATCGATGGAGCCTTGAGTGTAAAATTGAACGCATTTTCGCTTGATGCCCTCCATCAAAGTCTTTACAGTGTCATCCGGTACCAGTTTCTCAGTTTTTTTTTCTTCCATCTTCTTAACATGTCCTTATCGTCTTTGACTGTCTTCTTGCTCTTCCGAAGTTCCCGCTTCATTATTGCCCAGTACTGCTCCACCGGGCGCAGCTCCGGACATGCCCTTTGGAACAAAATGGACAGAATTGGCCTCATACCACTCCAGGACACTTTTAGAATAGTGGCATGATGCCAAATCTGGCCAAAATAGCGGAGCTTCGTCGTGCTGCTGCAAGAACGGCAAAAGGCGCTTCTCGAGGCACTCAGATTTGTAGATCTCGCCATTTACTGTGCCCTTTGTCACGAAAGGCTCACTCCTCAGTCCGCAAGAGCAGATGGCCTGCCAAATGAGATATTTGGAGGCGAACTTCGACATTTTCTTCTTCTTAAATTTGTCGTCCACATCGAACTTGCTCTTGCCGGTGAAAAACTCCAACCCCGGAATATGCTTAAAATCGGCTTTTATATACGTTTCGTCGTCCATCACACAGCAGCCATATTTTGTCAGCATCTTCTCGTAGAGCTTCCGTGCCCGAGTTTTAGCCGTCGATTGTTGCCGCTCATCGCGGTTTGGGAAGTTCTGTACCTTGTATGTATGTAGTCCAGCTCTCTTCTTTGCATTCTGGACGTAGCTCTGCGACATGCCGATCTTTTTAGCCAAATCACGGCTTGAGACGTTGGGATTTGCTTTAATCATCCGCTTCACCTTTCCCTCCGTCTTTTTGTTCTCCGGTCCCGGTTTTCTTCCAGCTCCTTTGCCGTGGTCCAACATCAACCGCTCCTGGAACCGCTTCAACACTCTGGAGACGGTTGAATGGTGAATGTTCAACATTTTTCCCAACTGCCGGTGCGACAGGTCAGGAAATTCCAGGTGTTTGGAAAGAATTTGTTCTCTCAACTCGCGTTGGTTCACCTCCATTTTCGTTGAATCGAAAAACAAGACTTCGAGTTTGACAGCATGTACACAATACACATCAATGAGAAAGTGTGCAAAATTTGGTTGATTTTTACCCAATGGTAAAAAAGTTATGCCCTGTTGAATGTGTCGCAATAATTTCGTGTTCGCCCTTTATGATTAAATTGACGCTATGAGATAGAAGATTCCGCACTCTTCTTTCCCATATAAATTTTGAAAGTGAGCTACACTCATGAAATAAATCACATAACCAGTAGAAAATATCCATGTGAATTTCACCTAACTTTAATGCGATACCATAGTTGGAAATTGTACCACTAAATTGCATGAACGTTATATGTCCAATGAAATCTATATGATTACTCACATCGAATTTCTTATGTTATGTGATATTCAGATAACAATAATTATTTTTGTTATTGGAAAAATATTAAGTGCGTTTCTATTAGAAACTAAGTGAAAACTTTTTCACTGTATTTCATGAATGTCGACTCCAGTGCTGCCAAATGCACTTTGCCGACTTCAAACTTCTTAGAGGTAAATTCATTTTTAAATGATTACTACTTTATCACAACTTGGAGGCAGATATGCTTCTAAGTCCAAGTTTTTCCTTGAAAACTTAAATGCCTTAGCCTTAAAGCTAGGCGATTCAGACACCGACAAACCGACATGACTCTTAATTCTGACTTATGCCCGAAAATCGTAAACGGTCGATTTAAATGTGCAGTGATCCGAACTGTCAAAACCATAGGATTTTTTGATCTAGATAAAAATAATTTGTCCAGAATAGATCAGACACGAACCAATTCATAACTTTTGCATGCGGGCTCATGACTTAGCTAAATATTTCCCGTGAACCCGGAGCCAGATGTCATTAGTGTGCTTTGGTCAGAAAGTTTACTGTTTTTGCTATGGTCATTCATGTCGGTTTGTCGGTGATTCAGATACCTAATAGGATATAGCACTTCAGCGTAGCACAATTTCGCCCTACTAAACGGTACACTAAAACGCAAATCTCTTCTCTTTTTCCCCTGGCTTTGGAACCGACCACGCTACACTACCCAGCGCCAGTGTGTTTTCCGCAACGAGCTGCTCAAATACGGCGGTCGCTATGGCCGAAGCAACTGTGTGGCCGCCTGCCGCATCCGTAGCGTGGTGGCCCTGTGCGAGTGTGTCCCGTTTTACATGCCAACGGCGGGCGCAGTCAGCGATAGGTCCTTAACCATCTGTAATCTGCAGCATATCGTATGTTTGAACAAGTACAAAAGTGAGTATGTATTTGCGAGTAGACTAGAGGTTTTGGATAGTATAGCCACCGACAAACCGACATGAATCATAAGCTTGGATTTGTCAAAGCCATAGGCACATGTTATCTAGATAAAAATAATATGTCCAGAATAGATCAGACACGAATCAACTCATAAATGTTGCACACTTGGATAAACGTTTTCCGCGAAGAACTAGGTAATTTCTATGGCCTTTCATGTCGGTTTGTCGGTGGTATAGCCAGATATCTCCCGTTGCACTTGACAAATAAGAGAGTGTTGTTTCCTGCGCGGTACAACGGCACTTATTACCAAAAAATTGTACCCTAAAACCCTCTGATTCCTGACTGCATGCGTGCGTGCAGTAAAATGGTCCACCGTCATTACCAATATCGTGCAAGTTCCGGGTCTGGAGAAGGAGATGGAGGAGTCCCTGTACTGTCCGGAATGTTTGCCATCATGCTCGGATAGCAAGTATCAAATATCCGCTACGGAGCTGCCATTGATCAGGACCCGCCGAACGGGATTCAGTGTAACGTAAGTAGTGCCACTCGGATCGAATGTAGGTCATTGAAATACTGGTGTGCTTTATTTACAGCCACGGCATCGATGATGTCTCGGAGGTGAGCGTGGTTCGTATCTTCTTCGGACAGCCGGAAACGTGGCTGTATAAACAGGACGTCGCGTTCTATTGGTTCGAGATTTTCAGCAACTTTGGCGGCATGTGTGGCATCATGGCTGGCCTATCGCTGATAAGCATTTCGGAAAATGTTTACTTTGTGCTCAGACAGTTTGTGCTGGTTTTTCTGTACCGGTCCAACTGGTTACAGCGTCGGCGGCGTCGCAACCGGCTGGCGATGCAAATTCTGGAGTGAATACATCACTCACTACTGAACTGAGTCTAAATGGTGTGATAATGGATCGGTCCCAGCTGTTGTTCTTCACCATGCACTGATGCTGTGCACTCGGCCGGATAATGATACGATAATATGCACCGGATATTGGGCCGTATGTCCGTGTCATCGGACCACACACAGACACGACCAACCATCACCGCTTATTTGCCAACCGACAACAGGACAGAGGACGGACAGCGACAGGTCGACGGAAGCACATTGTAGATTAAAATTTGATTAACATTTACCACTTTGGCGTTTTACCTGTTTGATCAGCACTTTGGTGAAAGCCGAACCGACCGAAGCATGTGTACACTTTGGAGTGGGGAGCATATGGTGCAACATGACCGGTTCGAACATTTTCGAGTGAAACCACAAATTTGTCACACCGGCAAAAAGCATAGTGTGTCCTAATAAAAATTGTTTGCATCTGAAAACTAAATAGCTTACCAATTTATTATGATTCGTTAAAACGTCCCTTTTCGCCAACGTCATTTTCGTAACGTCCCCACAAAAGTTGACCTTGCAAACCACCGCCGCCACCTGATGTTTGTGGAAACGCGTACTAACCGATCGCGATAATGCATATAACCTTTATCCCCTTCCGCACACATGGTTCTGTATGTATTTGCCACTCACCTGACCAAAGAACAGCCAGCTTCCCATTTCGTGCGGATTACCCTCAATTCAATTAGTCACAGTCGCCGAATTCGTACCCATCATCATCATCATCGCGGATCCCAATCGATCCAGGCCTACCTGGGAGTACAAACGGACAGTTGGCATGAGAAATGTTGCGTAATTCGAAACGATTAAAGCAATAAACTGTAATTATGCATTAACGATGATGACGTGGCTTGCAAAATGTAAATGATGGACTCCCGAACCCACCCTTCCCCCCCTCAACAGTTCATCGTGTTTGCATTGGTAAGCATGTATTTTGTAATCCTATAACTGAACGCTGGTGGATTTTCATGATGAATGCACTCGATTGTTTCTGCCTAATCGAAAATTTATCAGATTTTATACATGCTGCAAAAAGCCGCTAGGACAAGCTGGGTTAAGTGATTCCGGTTTTCATTATTGATTTGCGAGCGTAAATTGAAATTTTACGCTTTCTGTTGCGAGTAAGCGTTGCAATTGGAACATTACATTAAATTAACAATTAACAATAACACCCCATAGCTTTCCTATCAAGTTAAGATTTCATTTCGTAAAACGCAACTTGAAATACATGTTGAAGGAGAGCTTAGTTATGAATGCAAGAGCCATTGTTTCTTATTACTTCAATGAGCCGTGATTTCATGGACAAAATCAGTTTTCCACAGTATCCTGCTGGATCTGCTTCCAGCATTCTCGAATTCGACAATTCAGCATGTTTTCGTTGTCGAATTGTTGGTCATTTTCGTAAACGCAGCGAGCAAAAAAGGCAAGAATAAGGCTGTCCACGAGACAGTTGCGATCAGCTGACTTTTTTGTTTACCATGAACTTTTGACAGATAACAGTAGAACCAACAATCAATACGAAACTATCGATTTTAAATTGGCATACTACTTGACTAGCCCATTGGTCCCAAGCAAATCGATTAACGTACCCCATTCTAGTTGAAATTCTAGTACCATACAATGTTTTTTTTTTATTTGCCATGAAAGTTTGACAGATAAAATGAGGGGTTCAAGGATTTTCCTATGTTTCGAGGGGTGCATCGATTAGCCTGGGACCGAAGATAGTACCAGAGCTGAGCCAAAAAGTTGAGCTTGTTTCTTCGGGACCTTCTGGTCTTAGAGTTACCTCTAATGGTACTTCCCCCAAAGACGTGGACTACGTGGCCTTACATAATAAATGGTAATGTGTATCTTTATTGAGCCAGGTATTAATCTGAACCATATTTAATTATCTTCCTTACCTTATTTTTATATTTTCATTTTCTGTTCTATTTACCATGGAATCTGATGAAATATTGCTTGGAGCCAATGCCCATGATTGCTTTCAACGTATCCACATCGTATAATGGTCGCACCAAGCAGACCGCTCGTAAGTCCACCGGAGGAAAGGCTCCTCTCAAACAGATGGCCACCGGAGGAGTGAAGAAGTCTCATCGCTACCGGCCAGGAACTGTCGCTCTGCGTGAAATCCGTCGTTACCAGAAATCGACCGATCTGCTGACTGCAAGTTTCCTTTCAAGCGTCTGGTCCGTGAAATCGCCCAGGACTTCAAGACCGATCTGCGCTTCCAGAGCTCGACCGTTAATGGCCCTACAGGAATTCAGTGAGGCTTTTCATAAGGCAAATCAACTGATTTCTTATCGCGAACCTTGTTAACGCTGCTTTCGATCATTTAAAAGTTCAATATTTGTGGCCCTGAAAAGGGCTGATTGATTGTTTGGATGGTACGAATTTACTTGGAGCTAGTGTACTTGGTTACGACCTTGGTTCCTTCAGAGACAGCGTGCTTGGCCAACTCACCCGGCAGCAGCAGACGGACAGCAGTTTAGATTTCGCGGGAGGTGATCGTCGAGCGTTTGTTGTATTGAGCCAGACTCAGACGGCTATCATCTGCGAACAGAAAAAACACGCAACCGTCTCCGAGGGGAGGAATGTCGGAAGTGTAAATGCTGTAAAGCAAGGGGCCCAGCAGACTGCCTTGCGGGACTCCTGCTGGGATGGAAAACGTGTCTGAAAGATAACCATGCAACGATACCTTAAACGACCTTTGCTGGAGGTAGTTACGGGTGATTTTAACCAGATGTACTGGAAAGTTGAAGTTACAAAGCTTGTATACAAGCCCATTGTGCCAGACATTATCAAACGCTTTCTCAACGTCTAACAAGGCCATGGCTGTGGACTTGGATACAGCTTTGTTACTTCGGATGTTATTCATCACCCGCACTAGCTGGTGATTGGTGGAGTGCCCCTTTCTGAACCCAAACTGTTCCGGAAGGAGAATGTTATTTTCCTCGACAAACTTGAGCAAACGATTGAGGATGAGTTTCTCGAACAATTTGCTCAGCGCTGAAAGGAGGCTGATTGGTCTGTAGCTTGAAGACAATGTTGGATCCGGGCTTGCGGATTGGTATGATTGCTGCTACCTTCCAGATGCTTGGATAGTAGTGCAGTGATCGTCATCATTTTCGACTTTGAGAGGTGGAATGGGTTTGGGATGAGTTTTCAGGACCTTGGCTACCTTCCAGAATGGTCTGGAGCGGTCGTCCAGATTCTGGACAACACGCCCGAAACTTTCATTTCGGAGTGAGTCCATTCTGGAAGCAATCTGCCTGTTCATATCGGCCATTTCACCTTTTTTGCCCAGATCTCCAAACCTCTGAAACTGGCGTCTACGAACATTTCTCAGGCGAATCAAGAGTTGGGTGTGGGAATCAATGGCAATAAATAAACTTACCCCTCACAGGAACTCGTCGGACGCACGCCTCGTCAGCCACTGTTATGGCTTGGTGGAGTCCCTCCAACGCTCGGTCGATGTCCTCCACGGTGTCAAGCGGCGGGTTGTCGATGATGTGCGTGGTCGAACAGCAGACGACCGTTCTGGTTCTGCTGGTAGTTCCGCCAGGTCTCATGGTGAGCATTCAGATCTCCTCCAACTACGAAGCGGGAACCGGTACAGGTGGTGGTGGACAGGTCCTTCTTAAATTTAGCCGCTAGTCCACTGCTGGCGGCACACTGTCGAGGGCAGTAGACGGCGATGAACTGGACGTATCCAGTCGACGACTCCACCTCCACACCAAGGGCCTCGATGATAGAGATACGGATATGGGACAGAGTGTGGTATTTTATTCCTTTCTTGACGACAACCGCAACATCCCCCTCCCCCTCAATCTTTTTTGCTCTTACAGAGCAAGCATTCCAGGTGACGACAGTTAGCGGTTTAGACGCCATACTGGATGATGAACTTACCGAGCACTTGGATCTGTTCGGGCTTATTGCGGCACTTACGAAGAGCACCGGACATGTTGACGAAAATTTCCATCAGTTCATCCGCTGAGAACAGATCGGGGTTGTTGGTTGTCTCCAGAATCCAGGGGGGATGGAGAGCTTTGGCCAGCACAATCACCGGAAGCTTCTTGAGGGGGGCGGGTTGCACCCGCGACTTCGCTTGTCTTTGCTGAGGAGCACGAAGAGGCGGGAAATCCTCCGTCCGAAATGCCGGGACTTTGTCCTTCTTGCGTCCTGGTTGGTTGTTAGTTGCCACCTGTTTTCGGATGCGTTTGAAGTCCTCGCGTTTGGAGCACTGTCTGTCGGAACCTTGATGTGTACCACCACAGTTGGCGCATTTTAACGCCACGGCTCCATCCGCAGGGCAGTTGGAAGTGGCGTGTTCTTGAGCGCAGTTGCTGCAGCGTGGCTTGATGTTGCAGTTGCGGGTACCTTGTCCAAAATTGAGGCACCGCTGGTACTGCGTTACGTCATGATGGCCACCACGGTATGGCTCCCATTGTACGATGATGGAGTAGATCGATCGGATGGCTTGCAGCGCATTGAGAGTCACCGTCCCTTTCTGGAAGTGCACCAGGAAGAGGCAATCCGGGTACGTCTTCACGTTTTCGTCTCTCCTTGTAATTCGGAATACAGCGATTGGGGCTAGGGGGCTAGCTTGTACCGATTGATTTCAGCTTCGACCATCTTGGGGTCGAAGTTTGGTAGACCCCTGATGACTACCTTTAAGGGCTTCTCACCGGGGATGTTGTGCTTGAAGAATTCCGCCTTGGAATCCTTCAGATATTTCACGGCCACTTCGTACTCCGCTTTTGTTCGCAGCATCACCTTGGTGCCGATCCTGCCGAGCTTAAACTCAGCTGCAACGCCCAGCGATGATAGATCGCCAATCAGCGTGTTGAGTGGTACTTGCTTCACCACCAGTGGAGGAAGCTTGATTTTCGCCGCACTCGGGCCGGCAGAATTCTCGGTTTCGACGGCGTCGCCGAAATCACCGATGTCGCTGGCGTTCATCGCGTCTGCTCGTACCATCGTCCTTGATTCTTCTTCCTCTTTTTCGTGCGCTCCACCGGGACTGGGTTGTTCTTCCCAACATCGGTGGGAAGAGTAGCGTACGGCTCCGTTTTTTCTAGACTTTTGTGAAGTTGTAATTAGTGTTCCTTCAACTATTTGCCACCCCAGAGTTCTTAAACCACTGATCATCTCGGAACCTAGCACCATTGGTTGTTCTTTGTGGCTCTTTGTGTTCCTTACAAGTGGGTCAGATTCTCCGTTTAGCAGCCTGAATCCATTCAGCCACAATTGTGCTTT